TCCGTCTCTGCCATGCTCTATTTAAGGGACGGTGCAGGAGGGCGGCTCTGCTTGTCCACTAATATGGAATTTTACACAACCATTCACACATACACAGACACACACAACACTAAAGCGATAACTACAGGAATTTCCTTGTGCACATCTCTATAATCCAATCTGTTTTTAATCTCTTAACTGTCACCACACATTCAGAACTCACTCTTGAAATCTAAATCTGTTCTATGTATATCATCATTAAATAACTTCCCAAATCTGAGTAACAGTTACTAGTTAACGTCTGTCGCTATCAAGGCCTCTTAACAAACAGACACAGATCATTTGCATGCAAACTATCTGGAATCTAAACCTCCCTTCATATTACTTTTATTTATTTTAATTTGGGGGAACAGTTGAAGTGTCTTTACCATCACAAGCAGGTCCTGGGAGACAAACCAAACTTTTTTTTACATGCAAAACTGCTTTTCTTAAGTGTTGTGGCCACGTTGTTTGCTTTGTCCCTCCAGCACAGCATGTGCAATTTTTATTCATTCTCTAATCAATTCATATTTTTATCTATATTTTATTCTCTTAATTATAATACTAACTTTCTCTCACACTACACCTCAGAAATTTCTCTCTAACACTTAACATCCTTAAGCACACACCCTACTCATGCTTTAAATTCAATTCTCTCATCACATGCATCCTCATTCACAAATCTCACAGTATATGCTTTCTTATTCAATCCTCTTTTCTAGGAATTGTAAGAAAAAATTTCCCCATTCACATTGGTCCAGACCACCACATAAAAACACAACATATAGACTAACAAGACTTACACAGGTCAGTTCACTGAGATCCAGCCCTCCTTATAGGTGCTTTTGGGATCAGATTAAAGGCCTCCTCCCAATTTCCCTGCCTCTATCGGGAGAGTCTTACTCAATCCACAGGCGAGTACAGAGACGCGGAGCGCTCCTTTGCTCTATCCACACCCACAAAAAGCAACCCCTAGTGCTGCCTTCGCGCGTTCTGCTCCCGCCTCTCGCGTAGCAATTCATGCATGTACCTTTCTTTCATACGCATATAATTTACAGCCATTTGTTAGTATATAATACAAAGCCATTAGTAAGTGCATAATACACAGCCATTTGTTAGTACAAGCACATACCTTGACAACCTGGAAGACCTCTTTTTCTTATAAATAGTTCACTTCACTATTCTTTTATTACTTTATCATTTACTTTATCATTCTTTTTAATAAATGTAGTCAACTCAAAGGTTCTTTTTAATGGTGAGGTATTTTTTAAAGTCAAGTTCTGGCGTCTGGTCCATGTCTGGTACACTCATCAGAGAACCAAAATAAAGCAAAAATTTGCTCACCTTTTTTAATCTGCGCGCTTTTTGGTCTCTGCGTGAGTGTCTGCCAAGGATCGGCCCACTGACACCTTCTTTGACCACCCTCAATCCAGCCCCACGATGAAGGCGCCAAATTATGTTGTGGAAAGTTGCGCTGGATCTCGACAAACATCTTCTAAGTTTCAAAAAAGAGGCTGAGGTCTTCAAAGTTGTCAAGTTGAAGCAGTTTATTGTTACAGCAGAGTTGGTCGATCAATCTCTCTCCTACAAATGTTCCAAAACCCACAGTTTATATACAGGCTTTTCCCATAGTCATCATGAAACAGTGGTGTAGCATGACCATCACCTTATTTCCAGGCTCCAATAGGATTCTAGCCTTTATATTGATGGCTGTATGTTTTTCTGTTTTTGCACATCTTAAAGGTCATATTTCAACACTTTTTAAATGATTCTCCCTATGCATGCTATTGCATTGCAGGTTGAGCAACTTCTGTGTGTTTTGCTCTGCATCACTTGAATGTATTTCTATATGTTTTAACAGTGTATTTTAATAGTGGCAGATTATACAGTGATTATATAGTGATTACATAATAAAAGTTCCTCTATAATTCTCCTGTAAAGTCTGTTCTGAAATGAAAGTGTCAGACTTGACGCCATTCACTACGGATTTTAATGATGCTAAGCAGAGCAGAATAGGCGCATGCATCTCTGGTAGAAAATCAGCCGCACAAAAAGTTTATAAACACCAAGCTTAGTTTCCTGCCGATTGGCTGGAATTATTTAGTAATCAGGAGAAAACCGATTCCATCCAAAGATAAATAATCTTGCAAATGTTTAGGTGTCACCCAGCCTGCAGCTCTATACAGAATCTCTATAGAATCTGTTAGAGAGGCGCTGCGTATGCTCACAAAGAAGCAATGCTCTTTGTTAAGTTCAATTCAATTCATCTTTATTTCTATAGCACTTTTACAATGTAGATTGTGTCAAAGCAGCTTAACATAGAAGTTCTTGTAAATTGAAACTGTGTCAGTCCAGTTTTCAGAGTTGAAGTTTAGTTCACTTCATTGTGGTTTAATTTTTACTGCTGAAAGTTCAAACACTGAAGAGCAAATCCATTGATGTTGACTCCACAAGTCCCACACCAAGCAAGCCTGTGGTGTGAACGGGACACAACAGTGAAAGGGGCCTTGCAGGTTCACTACCTGTTCAGAGGGTGTGGTAGGAACCATGGGTACATAGTAGGGATGTAACAATATTTTAAATACTGTCATACCGCAATAATAATTTTTTTCAATATTACGGTAGGCGCATGACTCAATAAAACTATATTTCTGAGAAAAGTTTGCTTAGGCGAATGAAGCGAACGGTAGGTAGCGGGAACTACAATTCCCATTAGCCTAGGCGTGGCCATCATCCTTTGCGGTCTGTTGTCACTAAAGATCCAGTAATGCGGAAATTGAGTATGTTGCTAGTAGCGGGGAAAAAAAAGAGCTGGAAATGATCGAACCTAAAGCGGGTTTTGAATCGGATGTGTGGAAGCATTTCGGTTTCTTTCTAAAAAGATACGAAAAAGGAGAAATGGTGACAGACAAAGAAAAAAACAATATGCAGGCATTGCCAGACTGTGGTGAAATATAAGTCGGGGAATACGACTAAAAACAGTCATGGGGACTGCAGAACACAGCACACTTGTTAGATTAATGCAGACATTGACTTGTACCGCAAAGAGACCTCTATCTTACTCATGGCTTGTCCTCTCAAGTGGTGGAAAGACAATGCACAACGTTTCCCACTGCTGTCAACCTTGGCTAAATCATATCTCTCTGTCCCAGAAACCTCAGTCCCAAATGAGAGGGTTTTTTTCTGTTGCAGGGGACATGCCCAGAGATCCCAGCTTTTACCAGATTATAGTTATATGATAATTTTCCTTAAAAAAACATCTCTATCTAAGTGAGTGAGTGATTAAATGTTGAATGTGATGAGTTTTCAACAATACTAAATTGAAACTATTTTTTTATATAGTTTAATAGTTTTTTTTTTATTAAAATTGAAAAATTAAAGTTCCTTTTTCGAAACTTACAGATAGATGGCTAATTTGTATGTCATTGATATGTTCAGTGCTAAGTTAAATAAACACTTTTGGCACTTTTTTCGAGTCTTTTCATTAGTTATGTTTTTCCTGTAAATTATTCAATAAATACCTTACCGTGCCATTCATTCGAGGTATTATTGTACCGTGAAATTCTGATACCGTTACATCCCTAGTACATAGCTGTGCTGGTGTTTCAGGATAATGAAAGAGTAGCCTGGCCCAAACTCCTGGCATGATTTACTGTCTGAAAATACCTCCGCATTCCTCACCCTCTTGATTAATACCAATTATGACCAGCAGTGTTAGAGATACTGACCAGTGTTAGAGATACTGAATTGAGTGGCTCGAACAGACCTCAATGCAGACTGCTGAAGCTACAGAGGGATCCCAAGAGGACATGAAAGGAGGGGGGTGGGATGAAATTAACCATCTTATGCCACATGCCTCTGAGGAACTGGCTGATAGGGTTATGTCTTCCCATGTCATAATGAGTGGAAATGGCAACATAACATTAAACTGGCATGTCCGGTGTTCTTCTCGATAATAAGCACACCACACAGCTAATAGACTCCACTTCAGGACATAGATATGCCTCATAGTGGGTGCTCTAGCTTGAGTGATGGTGTTAGCCACTGAAACCAGTAGGTCACCTAAGTCTTTTGCACTACACCTCCCCCATGAAGGTTCCAGAACTCAAACAGGTGCCAGAGTGTGCTCTGTCCCTGAGAAAGAGGAAATTCTCAAGAAGGTGCCATCACGAGTAATGCAGAAATTCAGGCCCGGTTCGGCCACAAAGATGCAACAAGCAGGACTCCCTCCTCCTACTCACTGACCTTACATAGGGTCTGTGCAAGCAGGTACACTGGGGAAAAATGCATATTGGGTAAACTCGGAGCCAGCTGAGAACCAGGTCATCCCTGCAGAGCAACTGGCAAAATGGCAGACTTGGGAGAAGCAGCAGGATGACCTGGGCTTCTCTAAAGCACGCCCATATCAGCTGGACCACGGCGAGGTGGAGTCATTATTCTACCGGGACCATAAGCTGTTGTGAAAGTGCATAGGCTGGCATGGTTGAGCTCGCCCAGGATATAAACAGCACGCAGCATTGTCAATCGCTTGACTCCAGAGGAGCAGATGGCACATATTGTCCAAATTGTTGATTACCGCAGCTGTGCTGACCATACCAACCAACATGTGTTTCAATTCCAGCACCGGTAGGAACTGGTGGTGAACTAAAAACACTGCCAACAGCCCCAGTCAATTGATATGCCGGTGCACCTGAAGTCTGGTTTATGAACCTGTGTGGTACAGTATGGTACTACTTTTTCGACACCTTTTCGAAAGGGTACCAAACACGAGAAAGGGTACCAAAAGGTGGAGCTAAACTTGCAGTTGAACACTTTTGGTTTACAGAGATACGTCATTCGCTTTTGCAACAAGCCAGAATGAAATTAAAGGAAGTTAAAATACACAGCCGACAAGCCAAGAGATTACTGCGTAAGTATAAATACATATAATAACAAGACATTGTCGACCAGGGCTTAAACAAACCTTGTCGCCGTTTTGCTGAACAGCCACAAAGCCAAAAAAAAGAGCAGATTTACCCTGTTAGGCCATAAGGTGAACCTAGAAAAAGTGGCTAGAAAGCTATTTTCATTCCCACATCTGGGCACTACTTTTTTAATGCATTTCTTTATAAAGAGCACCCTTACGGAAGTTATGTTAAAAGTTCTCCATAAAAAATACTTCAGTTTTTTGTCAAGATGCATAAATATGTATAATTAGGAATTTACAAAAAAACGATAATCTTATGCTCTTAGTTTGGCCTGTAACTTTATTAATATGCATTTTAGCAACACACAATGTGTGTCAAATCCACTTTTATACATGTAGCTACATATATGAGACAAGTACTAGTGCATTAATTTACTCAATTTTAAATGAAGACCATGAAATTAAGCTTTTTTTTTTTTTTTTTTTTTTTTTACAACCCACCATAACTTCACGGATTGGCACCAAATAAAACTGAAGAAGATATTTGAACTTAAACATGTTTGTTATGTTTTATTTTTCAAAAATGTTCAGTAAGCATTTAGGTATCACACAAAGTTAAAAATAAAATCAATTTTGGTCCAAGTTAGCTAAAATGACATGAAATGCTGGTCTGCTGCACAAATTTTTCAATAACGCCAAAAATGTACAAATTTTACAGAAACTTAATTACAGCTCAAATTGAACTAACATGTGACAAAAATCATTTTTACTCATCACTACTATGCTTATCACTATCATCAGAACCTGAAAGCTACTTTTTTAACACACATTTTGACATTTTTTTTCATTTTTATACAAAATATCCATTGTCCTGTTCTGGAATGCACATGTGATCTCACTTATGACAGTCATACACTCATCTCAGTCTTCTGGTGGCAATAAGTCTAAGAAACTGAAAAATCTGATGAGCTGCAGACTCTCATACAGATGTTTGTGTGCCCTCATGCTGTGGTTATAGTGATGACCACTCATCACTTCATTGATACATCCTAGCGCAACAACTTCTGAATCAATGAGTATATCTTGCAGTGCTGCATCTCCAAACCTTTTCCCCAGAATGCCCAGAAAACTCACCTAATTCAATGACTTCAAGCTTTGGCATATATAGTTTGATTAAAGACTAGCACTATATGATCCTTTCTTACCAAACAGCTACACCCAGAAACAGTGATTTAGGTGTCTGCCACCGGGCCCTTAGACGCAAGATTAATGATGGTCGTGGCAAATGGAGATCACTTTTAGGTTCAAATCATCTGGAATATCAACACAATGAGCCAGTGTTGGTTCTTAGGTTGGACCAATAATCCATGAAATTAGGTTAAACAGTTCAAATGGCACAACAGATTTTGCTGCCCTAATATTTAAATCATCAGACGTGGCTGGCCATGGACATGTCATTCAAGGAGAGTCATCTACAATTCTCTTCAGTATCAATGCCACAGAATGAAGTGTCCTTGTGTTCTCTGCAGTACAAGCTATTCTACTTGCTGTGCTTTCACCAATACTTTGGCTAGTTATGTCTGTTGACTCAGTTGTTTTTGTACCTGATGGGTGAGGTATAGTTTCTATCAGATGAGGTATTGGTTCTTCTAATCTGCAGAAAGGGTCTCAAGAAAAACCAATTCATTGATGTTGCGCTGGTTAGAAGAATGAAACACCAGCTGGGGGAAATCATGGGACAGCCTCCACTTTAATTTATCCTGCCTGAAATAAAAAAATACAGTAAATAATGATCACAATCACAAAATATAAAAAACATTGTCAGCTTATTATGATAAAAAGTGGATTATTATTATATGATGATTACTTATTTTGTGAGAAAAAAAGGTTGCATAAATGTTCATTCCAAAGCTGCAAAAGAAACTTAGTGTATTTCAGTTACATGTAGTTTGAAGCATCGAGATCTTCATGGCTCTTTACCATATTCTTCTTAGCCGTGTCATCGTCGACACCCCTTGGTTTACAATTATTTGATGGTGGATGACTCTCTCAGAGAAGATCTCATAGCTAACATCGTAGGTTGGCTCATTTCTAATGAAAACATAAATATTATTTATGTTTTGTAATTATTACACTGGCTTCTATATTTGGAATGCATATATTGTGTACATGTACAAACTAAAAGCAACTGACCAAGCAAATTTAGTTTTTTTTATTCTTCAGAAGGAAAATACTTTAACAAATTATTTCAACATTTTTTCCTCTCACAAATTCCTAGATATTCGATTATGCTGAATTATTGTAACAAGTGGTCCATGTAGATTAATGTTTAGCTTTTGAAATTAACATTTGTTTTTATTAAATATTAAATTGTTTTAACATGCAAAAAAACAAAACAAAACAAAAAACTTACTGTTCTTCTGATGCCTGTGTAACTGTTCCTGTAGACTTTGTCAAGAACCTAATGCATTGTTTTTGACTTTAATATGCACAAGTATGCTAGGGTCTTCCTTTATCTTAGCTTCTTCAAGCAACTGACCTGTAAAAAAACAGAAATTGTAAATAGATATGTATTTAGAAAATAAACACAAGTTTTGACTGCTTAGGCAGTATATGTATGCAAAAACAATCTGAGTGTCCAATAAACATTGTAATTGTAGATATTGTAGTATCTGTTGTCACTCAAGAAGCAAAACCCACTTCTGGCCATTTTCTGAAATAATCAATCAGGGTTATGGCAAATTTACAGTCAGTAGAGCCCCTCTCGAATGGTCCCACTATATCAATGGCAACATGTTGAAATGGACCTTTCGGAAACTCCACTGGTTGCATGGGAGCTGCACAGGTTTTTGCTGATTTGTCACTGGATTGACAAGTCACACACTCTGACAGAATGGCATGAACCAAATCATCCATTCGTGGCCACCAATACAGTTCTCTGAGACGCTGTTTGGTTCGCACTATACCTTGATGACCTTCATGTGCCAGGTGAATGTGGCGTTCCCGCAGTACAATAGGGACTATCAGTCGATTCCCTCTTAAAATCAATGGAGATTCAACTGCTAGTTCATGTCTCACAGGGAAATACAGACGTAAATCATTGGATACAGATTTTTGTAGTTTAGGCCACCCTGCCTTCATGATTCGGCGTAACTGTGACAATTCTGGGCAGTCCTCACATTCTGCTTTAAAGTCTACCAACGGCAGTGCTGTCAGAAAAGGTTGAATTTCTGCAATTTCAGAAATCAAACCTTGTTCAATGGATACATCAGCATCTGTATAAGTTTACGGTATCCTTGAGAGACAATCTGCCACACAGTTTTGTTTACCTGTATGGTACTGAACATCATATTGAAAGCACAGGAGTCGAGCAGACCAACGAGCGATTCTCATGCCACAGCTGAATATTTTCTTTCTGACGTCAGTGTCCTGGATGCAAATGCAATTACCCGTTCAACCCCATCCGGATGAAGTTGCGTCAGGACAGCTCCCAGGCCATAATCGGAGGCATCTGTACTAATGAAAGTGGGCCGCAAAGGATCATAGATAGCCAAAACAGGACTCTGCACCAGCATTTGCTTAAAAGGCACCTATGGTGAAAAATCTACTTTTCAAGCTGTTTGGACAGATCTGTGTGTTGGTATAGTGTATAGACCGTCATACTGGGGTGATATGAACACACCCAGTCCTTTTTTTTCAATTTAACTACAAAAAAAAGGGTCGGCCAATTGGAGCTGTTTTCAAATCAATCGCACCATTACGTAGGTGTGCGATCCCCCCGCCCACCGAATTGATTGACAGCTGCGCGCATTAACATGTTCCGGTAGTCACGTGTATATGTCAACAAGTCCAGGCAGTCATACGCAAAGCAACCGGGAATAAAAGGTCTGTTCTGTTCGCTAGGATCAGCAATCATCATCAAATGTGATTAAGAGTAAGTTTCACATGTTTAAAGTGTTTTAAAACAGAGTATGTGTGTAATTAATTACAGCGATTTACTTCAGCTTTACTTCATCAGCACAGCTGTGTGTCAGAACAATTATAAAAGAAGACGCTTCAATCCCGGTTTGTGGAAGTTAAATCAGGTTTATTTTGTACATTAGCACAACAGATAGGGCTGCACGATACATCGTTTCAGCATCGAAATCGCGATGTGCGCATCCGCGATAGTCACATGGCAGGAGGGTGCGATGCAAAAAAATAAATAAATAAAATTATATATGCTATATGTATTTATGGGTGGAGCAGAATCCGAATAAGGTATTCGGATAAGCACGAATAGTGTGTTTTTACCAATACTTATTTCGAACAAATACTTGAAAAATGATTTGTATTCGGGGAACAAGAAAAACATTATATCAAAAAGCTGCGTTTCCTCATGAGACCGCAGTGCATGCCCGCATGAGTGAGTGAGTGAGACATTCAGGAGTCGGAGGCGGGGTGGGGCCAGGAAAAAAGGTGACTGAAGTGAAGCATGCCGCTGCTCCACAACAGCAACAGAGAAGGCTTGGCAGAGCGAAAAATACTGCATTACTATTTTTGTTAAATATATATATTTTTTTCATCATACTAAAATAACACTTGACAGAAGTTCACTCAAAAGTGAAAGTTCTTTCTGTCATTAATTACTAACACTCCCGTCATTACTACTTTCAGAACATAAATTTTGATAGTTTACCATATGAAAATGCAATGCAGTTATGAAAATTGTGAAATTAAAGCAATAGTGCAGAGATCTGGTCCCCACGTCAGGTCAGGGTGCACCTGTAACCTTTAAAACGCAGATGCGGAGGCGCACTAAACTCACACGGTAAAGAACTGGGCATTCAATTCATGTTTTAGTTAAATAATTCTTTAAATACACCTCTCTTGATCTCTAAAGGGGAAAAAATGCAAAAGAAATTTGTGGTTAAATTAGTTTTAGCAGAGACGCAACTGCCTGTTATTTTCACATTCGTTTTTCAGTTAGGGATTAGGTCTATTAACCTAACAACAATGTTTTGTTGGACACTGTAGCCTACACAATAATCAATATTATAATTTATTATATACATTATTATTAAAACTAAACTATACAATTGATAAAACAAAACCCTTTTTATTGTTTAATTGCTTTAATTTTGACACCGCTAACAGTTGTAATAAGAAACATCACATTATGCAGAAGTTAAAAATACCTTTTGAGTTTAAAGATGATCAGCCTGCCAAGTCAAGTTTACAGTGTCATAAATGAAATGGGTAGCATGATTAAAGGGGATTTGCCCAGCACACAACTTCTCGCTTCAGGTAAGCTGAATGATAATCTTTAAAAATATATGTGCAATACAAAACTTTAAACATTTATGTGTTTTTTTTTTAATTAAAAGAAAAGAAATCAGGAGAGTAAAATATAATTAAAAACCACTGGTCTGGCGCTGATACTTTATTGTTTGTAGCGAGAAGAAGAAAAAAAAAAGCAGATGAAAACCTGGCTGGGGAGACGGTGACAACATGGATTATCTGTTCTTCAGAAAAGATCACGACATTGTGAGGCGTTTATCATACAACGCAGTTCGTGTTTATAATCATTAATATTAACTAATATTAATTATCTCTCTAGACTTTGTTTTAGGGCTTGTTCTTGTCGGCGCAATATAGCCTCGGCTTATTGCACGTACGAATCCGATTGTGAAGAATGATTAAGCGCTTGCATTTTTTATTGCATCCTTTTCGCAAGTTATTTATCTATTTATTTTTTTAAAGTGGTGAGAGCATTATTTACTGGCAAACATGTTCCATGATCTCGTACATCAACAGATAAAGTAGCCTACCTAAATTAATTGACCTTTTATGTAAAAATTAAGGAATAACTTAACTTAATTAAATATTAATAAATAAAACATCCGTATAAACGTAGGCCTACGTGTTTATTTTTAAACTTTCGTTAATAAAACAACACAAAACTGTTTATAAATTATATAGTTAAATATTAAATAACTTTAACTGCTTGAAACCGTATAATAATAAATAAACGTGACATTTTTTAAAGAACTTAACAAATAGCCTAAATGGCACTTTACTAATAAGTGTAATAATAATATAAATAATAATATTTATAAGTAAAAGTAAATATTAACCTAGTAACAATATAAGTCAGATGTTTAAAAAAACAACGTAGGTTCTCTCCACCTTTTGTATTCATATTTTTAATTATTTGCCAGAAAAACTAACATGTTGTCTTTGTCCGGTTTAAGTGAAGAATGGGGTTATAATGTTTCCAGCAATACACTGTCAGACGGTGTGCTTGTAGAGAAAATGCACAGACAGGTTATACTTTTTCACAACCATGCGATAGGGCTTCTTGTTTCTGTTCCGCCGCCCGCATTACTCGCAACGCAGGTTTCTCTACGCTGCGGAGCGGCGCGTTCTTAACTAGTTACCAAATATGTTGCTCCATTTCTCGTCAATGTCTTCCATTTATCACTTTCTCTTTTTTTATCTGGCCATTTTTGCAAATGCATCTGCCATGCCTGGCTGAGCTGTGCTTTTGCATTTAGAAGACAGGAGTTGATTAAGCCTACATGGCTTTTTTCCCTCGCCGTCAATCGCCACTGGCTTGCATGATTCGGGACCCATGGATCTGCATATCGATGGATTTGCTCTTCAGTGTTTGGACTCTCAGCAGTGAATATTAAAACACACTTTAACACTTAAAAACCCCCTACAAAAAGCTTAATCTAAATTAATTCGTTCACCTTTCTCGGTCAGCATGAATCCAAAATGTTCCCTGATGTAAGATTTCGTTTTCTAACAAGATTCATGGTTGAACTTGAACTTGCTGAATCGCACCTAATGTTATATTCTAACAGATATGTAATACTTGGCAACATAACAGTAATTTGTGTTTTAAAGTGCGTGACGTCACGTACTACAGCCGGTGGCAATGGACAACGGCGGTGGCAACTGACCAAGGCAGTGACGCGGTTGTCTCGGTGACCGTCACAGCCCTAGTCTTAAGTATATATATATATATAAACATGTTAATGATATATAATGATATATATATATATATATATATATATATATATATATATATATATATATATATATATATATAATATCGCAATATATATCGCAGGGAAAAAAAATATCGCAATGTCAATTTTTTCCAATATCGTGCAGCCCTAATAACTGATATCCACACAGTACTTGAGGTTAGCCTTAACTAAGCTAAGTGCGCTCTGTCTGTCTGCCTGCCTGCCTGTGTGTGTGTGTGTGTGTGTGTGTCATCTGCGGTGTGTGTGCGCCGGCGCGCGCATTAACTTTGTAACGATATTGTGTGTGACTCATCAATGCAACTTCACAATACTGATTAGTAAAGGTTAGTTCTTACTGTAGTATCTCACAAACGCTACGTGAGACCTTCTTCCTTTAAGTCTGTCTGTTGTCTGACGCAGCTGAGGGAGGAGGGATGTAGAAATAGTGGGCGGGAAAGACTCGGCTTAAAGGCGCAGTATGACAAAACCACCCCCTGCTGGAAATCAGTATAAAACAGCATCT